GAAAGGGAAAAAGAGCCATGAATAAAAACATATGTGCCTCCGTCCCCCTTGATTATTCACAGTTGACCACAGGATCCCCCTGCCTCGTGATTCCTCTCCAAAAGAGTTTCCCGCCCTGGCAGCCAGTGACAAAGCGTCGGTACTGCTGCCCTCTCGACATATAATGATGGGTGCTGAGCTCAACGGGCATGTCGAGACATGAGAGAGTGCGAAGATCAGTACAAGACGAATCCAAGAAGATACTGGACAAGTCGCACGCCCTCCCGGCGCGGTTAGAAGTCGGCGCTCATAAGATTAAGCCGCGCCAGGCGCAGGATTTACTGCAGCACCCTCGCCGCCCTCCATACCGTTGAGCCTATCGTCTTCGCCGTCGCCCGCATCCGCTGCCTCCTCGCCGACGGGGTCCTCGGGTATGATGCCGTTCTGACGCTCCCAGACCTCGCGCCGGATGCGGTCGTCGCGGGCCTTGCGCGCCCGCTCCACCTCCTCGAAGCCGCCCGACTTCTTGAGCTTGCCCTCGCCCACGAACTCGGTGAGCTCTTCGGTGAGAGGGTTGCCCTTGCGCGACTCGAGCTCGCGCTGCCGCATCTTCTCGGCCCGCTCGATGGCCTCGAGCCGGTTCTCGTGGTTTGGCCGCAGCGCCCGCACCTCGCCCAGGACCCCCTCCTTTGCCGTGCTCGGGTCCACGGCCGTGTTGCTGACAATGTTCTCCAGCCCTCGCGAGAACTGCCTCGAGAGGAGGTTTACGCCCGGAACCGGCGGGCCTGCCGTGGCGTCGGCTCCGCTGTCCTTCATCTGCTCCTTTGTGGCCTGCTCCACAAGCCCAAACGTCTCTGACGCCTTCTCGAGGTCGTCCTGAAGATCTATCACCAGGTCCTCCATGATGCGCAGCTCCTCGCGGCCTTGGCACACGTCCTCGAGCTCCTTCTCCCAGATCTTGGTCCAGAGTGGCTTCTCGCGCTTCATGTACTCGGCCATCTTGCGCAGCTCCTGCGTTAGTCCCTGGATGTCCCGGCCCACCGTCTCCAGCTGTCTCGGCAGCGGCCGCACACCCCGGTGCACAACGTCCTTGCGCAAGTCCTCCACCATGTCCTGGAGGTCGTCCACCTTGCCCACCAACCGGTCCGAGTCGGTGCTGAGCTGCTTGCGCCCCTTGATCACATACGCCTGTCCGCCGCCGCCCTCCGTGTCTGGCACCGATGCCTTGGCTGCTGCGACCTTGACGTTGTTAGCTTTGGCCCGCAGCGTTGCCATAGAGCCCTCCATGTCCGACTGGAAAGTCGAGTATGTTTGCCGAATCACGGCCAGGTCGCGACGCAGGTTGCGCAGCTCCGTCAGCTGGCTCGAGTTGGCCTTGCCGCGCGGCACAGCCGCAGCTGTCGTTGCCGACGACCGTGGCGAGTGGTCGGCTGGCGGGGTCATGGGTGCCTGTAGTGGCGCGCTAGCAATCCGCGCTATCTCCTTGGCTGCCTCCTGCTGTCGGTCCGACACCCGGGCAAGCGCGGTTGAGTGGTCGTCTACGTTCTGCTTGACCTCACGGACCATTTGCTTGAGGGAGCCGAGCCCCTCGTCTATGTGCCGCTTGACCTCGTCCAGCGGCTCAACATTGAGCGCAAGCACCGTCCGGTCCTTGATGTCGGCGAGGTCCTCCAACTCGTGCCTCACACCCGAGACAGGATCCTGAATGTATATCTCGGGGAGGTCCACGCCATTGTGCTGCGTGTTCCATGAGAACTTGTCTATGAATGCAAGCTGCAGTCGCCCAATCGAGAGCTCGCTGTGCCCTTCTGCCAGCACGAATTTCTTGACCTTGGACTTGTATTGCAGGAATAGAGTCAACTCCTTATTGCTGGGTGTTGGTGACGGCTGTACCGCCGAGAATGACTGCTTCTTCTTTTCTGGCGTGGATGGCTTTTCGGAAACGGGAGGAGCAGATGGCAAGGCCACTTCAGGCTTCTCGTTCTGCGGCATCAGCTCCTCGTCCTCGCGCACCCCGCCGACTAGGAAGTCGTCCGACGGGGGCCCGTTAAGCGTTGCGCTGGTTTCGGGGTATGCTTTATCCGTCAATTGGTAGCCTATGCGCTTCGCCTCCACATCCGACTCCTCCGAGACCCGGCTCGGAACGCGAGCGGGCGACGAGTCCCCTGCTAATGCGCGGCTTTGGCTAGGCGCGTTGCGGTTGTGGCGGGCGTCTGCCCTGCCCTGCACCGCGCGCATCGACTCCCTGATGTCGCCGCGGCCCCTATTCGGGATGGGCCCCATCTGGGGCATCATGGGGACGCTGTTGACGCCATTGCCGAGGTGCTTGGATATCTGGTAGGCAGAGTATCTCCGCGAAGCCCTGCGTTCTAGGTCCCCACCCCTCTGTAGTGCTGCAAGTGCGCTCTGCTGCTTGGGCGGCGGAGGCGGCGGAGGGAAATTATTGGCCTCGGTCTCGTCCGGGATTGGCGGCGGCACAGGTATGGTCTCGTCCCCAGGATATGGAGGGAGGATGGGGATGCTTTGCATCGTGTTGCTCGACAGCGACGACTGATCAGAAGTGCCAGAGCTGCGGGACTGGGACGGGTCACGCTGGCTTGGGGGGCGACGGCTCGGCGAGGATGTCGATTTGGATGGCGAGGGAGCGGACTGCGACGGTGGGTGCTGCTCGGGTCGATATCCATTCTCAATGCCTTCGGATAACATGCTGCTCAAGCCCGTCCCGTTGCTCCCCGTTGTGCTCGTGCTGGTAACACGGCTCACGCCGGCTCCCTCTGCTTGTCCCGGCTGGCCGTTTTCCCTGTCGCGCGGCTGACGCTGGCGTAGTTTCTGCTGCTTCCGCTTGAGACCGTGTAGGAGGTTGATTATGATGTCGCGAATCTTGGGCAAATAGTTCTCGAGGCTCTCGACGCTGGCCTCCTGGCTCAGCGTCGCCTCAAGGATGCTACGCAGCTTCTCGGGAACGTTGCCGAGGTCGCTAGTGTCAACGTTAATAGCAGTGAAGGCGCGGCAGGCCATGTTGAACTCGTAGCCTAGGCGCACGTAGACGTCCGACACCTGCGTATCGGTCGCCTGGCCGCGGGACCATTGCGTCAATGTCTCTAGCAGGGACTTGGTGGCCACGAGAAGGTGCGTGACGCTCTTTTCTATTTGTGACAGAGGCATTGCGGAGCCGCCAGATGACTGTTGGGCAGACGTGGGTATTGTCAGCGATTGTTTGCTGCAGGCGTTGATGCGCCACACCTCCTTTGCTAGCTGTGACAACAGGCACATTGTCTTGTGGGGGGACACAATTTCATGAAGCCCGTGGCGGGGCGTGCCAGCCAGCAGAGGACGTTAGAAGGCGTAGGCATGAGGGGGGTTTGTGAAACCAGCCATTACAGGCTAGTTGGTGTATCAAGACAGCACCAAAACAATCAACTCGAATTCCAAACACCTACGTTTGTCCGCCTGGCGCCACCACTGACGCTTCCTGACGATGTAGGGGGCGCCGAGCCGACGGCTCTTTCTCCGCCTCCGCTGCTGCCCGTCGACCGGTTGGACGCTGTCGAGTTGCGAGGCTGGACGGGGCCGGCCATGCCGATGGCTGGCGACACGGAGCGCGCGGGGATGGTGGGCGGCGGGCCGGGGTCGGCACCGGGCGAGCGTCGCTGCATCGAACGCATGGACGGCCCTGGAGCCTGCATGGTCTCGGTCTGCGTCGCTTCGGTGCCCTAACTAGGCGTGTGTGGGTGTGTCGTCGGGAGGAGGAGGGCGGGCAGGGCAGGCGGCTGACAGAGCACCGAGGTGGGACGAGATGGCTTGGTGAGTGGGAGAAAGCAGCCGTTTGGGGCTGGGCAAATCGCATCCGCCGTCGCGAGTCGCCTGCTCGTCGTTAGCGGCTTGACGGCGTCGGGTGATGGAAGATGGCGTCGGTCGGGGGCCGTTAAGCTTTGTTTGCGCTCGACGCGACACCGAGAGTCAGCAGCGACGGCAGAATTGCAACGGCTCCCCGTCTCTGTTGCTGTGTGCGTTGGGAGCTTGAAAGTTGAAAGCACGACGTCGCTGGCGTTGAGGGTGGCGGAAACAATTGCGTTGGGCCTTGTGATTTACCGATCGAGGCAAGAAAAACAAAAACAATCCCGAGCGCTGGGCGGGCGGCAGTCACAGACGCTGAAGTGAGCAGGCCAGACTGGTATAGAATCGAACAGGTCGAACACTAGGACGAGAGGGAAAAAAAAAGGCAAGGTTGTCGCCGGCGAGTGGTGCAGTCTGGTGTGCAGTGTGCCGTGTGCAGTGTGCAGTGCGCAGAGCCCGTGGCGTGCTGGATCCCTGTGCTGCCACGAGCAAATCGCAAACAGAGAGGAAGCGTCGGAGTTTGCCGGCGCCCTGGAAGCCTCTGATTCTAGTGGCCAGCGCAGTGAAGGCCCAACCGCCTGGTCGATACTCCGCGCTTGCCTGCGCTGCTGCTGTTGTTGGGCACAGCTGGGTGTGGCCCCAGTGGCCCCGTGCACCTCCTCAGCGCCTGCAGTGGTGCCAAGCGCGCACGTCCCACCCAATCCGGACCCGCCCGCGTGACCGCAAATGGACTGTCTCCATGTATAATAGCTCGTGATTGGCTGCCTTGAACATGTAGCCATGATCCAGCCACAGCGCCTTGCCAGACACGTGCAGAGTGTGGCTGGGGCTGGCTTGACACCACCCCGCCCTTCCAGCCTCTTCTTGCGCATCCATGGGTTAGAACCTGTGCCATCCAATCACGCAGTCGCCTCGCCTGCATGACGGTTCCATCGCGCGTCAAGGTGAAACTCGCGCGGTAACTCCCTCACTGGATCCAGCCGATTCTCGATTCTTGTGTCGTCCGTCCGATCGACACAGATCTTGCGCTTCACCTCGAACCCGTCGAGGTTTGTTTGACTCGGCAAGCGGCCCGGGTCTGGCCGGTCCCCACCACCCAAGAAAGGGCCTTCCATCTGTCTGTCTCGCCCCAAGGCTGGAACGCCAATTACCTATCATGGCTGCTCACTACACGATATATCGTCATATGGGTTCATCAGCCATTTCATTTTCGTGACATGGATATTCCATTGCTTCTCTTCCCCTCCATCGCTCCTCTCCGGTCACCGACGGGTTTGCATCCCAGTCCTATATCGTGGTCTGATATACCAATTTCTTTTTTCTTGCGCTGTTGCCTCTGTTCCACCGTCAGTTTGTGGAACTGTTTATACCCGCCTCACACGGCCCCCGGCCCGCTATGTTCCAGGCCAGGTTGTGCCCGAGCCCTCTGTCTCTTGATATGTGGACTCACTACTGCGGCCTTACGGTAGCACTGTCTCCCGAAAAAAGTCTGGACCGCAATTTATTCCCCACCACCACAAAAAAAGGAGCTCATTCAATCTGCAATTATTTTATTTACCCTCTGCATTTATAAAAGCGAAAAACGTTATTGTGGCTATAAGTAATGCTTTTTGCATAA